GTCCTTCCTGGTCCGGACGGTCTGTGAGCCCTCGTCCGAAGGGCCCCACCGGCCCAGGGGGCTCGGAGGCCCTCTCGGTGCTGTGGGCCTTCGCCACTGCCTGCACCCCACCGCTGCTGCTTCCTCGCGAGGGTGCCGGTGCCAGCAGGTGGGCGCTGGAGCTGGGTGGGGACGCGGCCTCACTGAAGTCCCACGGGCCCACGGCCGGTGCTGGGTGAGCCAGTTCATAATGCTGGCTTATGCTCTGTCGCTGCTTTTTCAGTTGAACGCGGTGAGCCTGCAGTGGATTCGGTCTAGATCCACACGGCGCTCCTTTTCTTTCTCAGAGTTTTCACAGAGGGGCGTTTATCTTCCCCTTAATCCTGCCGTTTCTGTCAGGACGTAATCTCTTTCTCAAATTTACATTTTAATTACAAGGCCAGCTGAACTGGCGAGATCAATACGGTCGAGCTCGCTGCCGAACTTCGCGGGAAGCCCTGGCCTCTCCATTTCCTGCCATCGATCCCGCCCCCACCCCCGCCCCACTCTGCTTCAGCGCTTCAGGCCAATAGCGGCCACTTGGTCAATTTACACAAAAAGGGGGATTTGGACATTTTTATGGCTCTTTCTAAAAGCCACCTTGGGAGTAAATTTGAGCCGAGATCTGGTGCTTCAGTCCGACGCCCTTGGGCAGTGGGAGCTGTGCAGCCCCCAGTTTTCCCAGGGGTCACTGTTCTCTCCAAAATCGCAGCCCGCGGCCTGGGGCATGCCTGCTTTTTGGGTTCTTACTTTGAAAGTATGTCATCGAGACTGATTTTTCTGGGACAACGTGAAGCTGGTAGTGTTTTTTCAGTGCCGAGTACTTACCCTGCTTCAGCACGCTTACCCATCTTTTTAATGGTTTAAAACAACAAATCAATGAAAAATACATTTCATTCTTGTAACTCTGAGGAATTCTCACATTGATCTCGCGGCTGTGATTGTATCCACCTAGGTGCCACGGCAGCCACTTACCAGCCGCGCTGCCGTGTGTGCACCCGTGCATGCCCGTGTCGGGGTCTGCCCCGGTGGGTGATGGCGGTGGGGGCATTTGGAAGTTTTGTGACCACCTGGGATGTGTTGGTGACTTGGCTGGTCCCGCCTACCTTCCAAGTGTGCCCATGTCTCCAGGGCTCATAGCCAGGGCACTGCCAGGTGGCCCTCCCCCACCCTCAGCCACGGGCACTTGAGAAGCAGGGAGCCCCCCACTCACAGGGTCCTGTTAGACCTGGAAAGGTGTCTGGAGCAGGTGCCGGCAAGTGTTCTCTGGGGTGGGGGGTGGGGCTGGGTGAACATTTTGGATTTGTGGGCCACGCCAGGCCTCTGTCGCAGCTCTTCTGTCGTCTGCAGAAGCACCAGACGGCACACTCACGGGCGCCTGCCCTGAGCCCAGAGGCTGCGTGCAGACCCTGCAGCAAAGAGCCAGGCGCTGTGACAGTGGCCTGAGCAGGGCCTCCTCCTTGCCCAGGGAGCACTTCCCTTGGTGTCCAGTGCTCAGTGCTACGAGACGTCCTTTCTCATTTGTCTCTGTAAGTGGAGGACATCCTGAATTCTGTGCAGGTGGATGGAGGCGTGGTGAGGAAAGCCGGTGCACGGGGAGCATGGGGGCGCAGACACGTCTGTGCTGCCGCGTCTGCTCCTCTGGTGGCCCCAGGGGCTGTCCCCTGGTTGTCGTGGCCGCTTCTCGTGTGTGCTGGGAAGGACCGCTCGGGCGTGAAGTCCCACGATGTCGGTAGGAGAAGCCACGACTCCACTGACCCCGGGGTCCCGGCCGCCGGCCAGGGTCCTTGGAGCTGCTCACGTCTGCACATGTGCTCGCTCCTTGTGTTCCCTCGTTAACAAGGCCTGGTTTCTCCTGGTGTCTGTCAGCTCAGTTTTCTCCTGGTTCCCGTTTGCACAGCAAGTCTTCTCGTCCTTTTATTTTCAGCCTTCTGTTGACCGGTTGCTTTGAGTGGTTCTCGGGTGGACTGGGGGCTGGGTGTTCTTAGGCGAATCGGTCTGAGTGATTTTAACCCACCTGAGTAGTGGCCGCTGGGGTCCCAGCTGTGCTCAGTGGCCCCCATGCTTCTGTTCTCCAGACTTCCTTTTCCGCTTGCCGTTGCTGCTGTTTCCTTTTTCCCACTTTTTGTGGGCTGGATAAACTTCTCTTCTGCTGGTCTTAGAAGTGTTCATGTGGTGTAAACGGAGCAACGAAATGCTGTGCTTCAGGTGGTTTCGCCCAGTCTGGGTGTCACCCTCACGCTTACTGCACACCCTTGCCGCATGCTGTGTCCACTCCGGGCCTGCACGAGGTCAGGGACGTGGTTGCTTCCCTTGCCCCGGCCTCCGGGGTCGTCCGGGAACCAGTTGAATTCTGATTGTTGTGGAGGCTTGGGCTAGGGGGAGCGAGTCCTCCACGCCCTCCAGAACCTACCCTGCCCCCAGGCGGGTCATCATGCGGAATTGGGTGGAGTCCCCTCCTGCACCTGCACATTGAAACCTCGCGTAGCTGGGTGTGAAATTCTGAATCTGGGTGGCGTTTCACCAGCGTGAGGTGCCTTCCGAGGCCCTTCCCTCACTGTTGTGTTGGAGACGAGGGTCCCCGCGAGCACTTGTGGCTTTGGGGCATCGGCTTTCTCCTCGGAAGCTCTGCAGGCCTCTCTCTTCACATCTGATGTTCTTGTGTTTCCTCTTAAAGCACTAGCGTGTTTGTCCTCCCATCTCCTCCGTGACACTCACTGAGTCCCTCGGGCCTCCTCAAAGTCCTGGAAGGCTGGGCTCTTTGCTTCTCCCACTGCTTCCTGCACACCGGTTCTCTTCCTCTCTGTCTGGGATTCAGCGATGGGGACGTTGATACTGGTGCATCTGCCCTTGATGCCCCCAAACCGTGGGCTCCTGGGAGCTTGTTCCCTCTGAGCACCTTCGCACGTCCCGCGGCCACCCTCCCCGCTCTTCCAGCCACCTAGAACTTGTTGAGGCCCTGCTTGCCTGTGGGCTTCCGTCCGGCGGCTTCCTCTCCCAGGGTCCCTGTCAGGTCTCTAGCTCTGGCTTCTGGTCCTCCCTGTCCTCCAGATACTTTGTTTCTTTGTTCACCTGTGTTTCTCCTGGCAGTGCAGGCGCTCCACTCCGTGGAGGGGCAAGTGCTCTGTCCTGGCCAGGGGCTCCCGCCGGCTGTTGGGGAAGGGAGATGACGCCCTCAGTGTGGGGTGCCTCTGGGGCCCTCTGGGCAGCCTGGGAGCCCCAGTCCCTGTGCCCAGCTGGGAGGGGCGTGCAAGGGTCCGGGGAGCCCAGACAGGCCAGCGGGCTGGGGAGCAGCGTGGGTGGGATCCAGTAGTTGCCTGCCCTGAGGACCTGGGCGTGGACGCAGCCTGCAGGTCAGTGGCCTGGTGGCCTTGATGAGATGCCTGCGTCGGGGCCGTATCTGGTGGGCAGCGGAGTGGGTGCTGTTGGGGGCCTCGGCACGCTTATATGTGGGATAGGGACATGGTGCCCTTGCAAGTCTGTCCGGGGTCATGGGACAGTGGCCAAGACAGACATGTCTCTGTCCCAGGGTTGGAGAAAGAGCCATCTGCGCCAGGGCCTGCAGGCG